ATTCCCAGTTCATCTACAACTTAGGTTTATTAAATTCAGCCCCCCCGTTACGCGTAGTTGCCACGTATGGCCCCGTGGAAATTTTTGGCAGGAAAATGGTTAACTCCGGAACCAGGGAAGCTAGGAGGTTGAAACTTTCAGGAGATGTTCCCACCTCATCTACTACTTAAATTTATCAACTCCAGCCCCCAGACATGCGTGGCTACCATGCACGGCCTCGTGAAATTTTCTGGCTGGAGTTTGAGTAACTCGGGAACTGAGAAAGCTGAGAACTTGGGATTTCAAGGGAATGTTCCCTGCCCAAGCATAGCGTGGACAATTAACTTCCCGAAATTTCAGGGAGAGTATGTCAGAGGTTTCTAGCTAGCGGAATTTCGAGTGATCTTATTACAGCACGAAAAACTGCAAAAACGCATGATCGCACGGGCCCGCCCAGTGCGCGTCGCCAATGATTTTTATAGGGAATCCAACACAGTGCAATAATTTAACTAATCGGCGGGCTTCATTTGGAATTCTTGGATTTCCTGCCTTCGCTTCCTACCTACCTAGAAATTTTATCTAACTTCCTACTTAAAAGGTTTTCTACCTAAAAATTTCCATTTTTATGCCTTTTTATGCGCTTTTGCTGTGCAGCGCTTATAGCTTATAGCGAATGAACTTGCGAGTGAAAAACGCATGTTGTCGGTGTGTGTGTGTGTGTTCGGAAACGAGTGAACTTTGTTGCCTACTTTCATCTCAGCAACCAGCAAAGGTGAGAGGCTGAAATTTTGGGTATGTGTTCTTGCCCCGTGTGTCATCCTCCCGTTTTAAAATTTTCGCTCATACGCACCTAGACCTCGCGTACGGACCCCCGAAAAAAATGTGCATATTTCTTTGGCGGGAAACGATTTCGCGAACTAGGCAAGTTACAAAGCTGGGATTTTGCAGAGATATTCCCTGTGCGCTTGCGATTTAAGGATTTCAGGTTCAGCTGTCGCGCACGATTTTGCAGCGCGTACAATTACGTTAAAGTTTGCAACTTGATATTGTGTTAACTTTAAAACTTGTCGAAAAACAGTGGCTAAAATTTTGTCAGCATATTTCTCACCTATATGGGAAATCGTATACCCAAATTGACTTCCGACTTGCACTTGCGCCACGACTTAGGGCACTTCAAAGATGTCTGTGGCGAAGTGGATAATTCTTTTACTGTATAAGGTGCGAAGGTGAAACTTCGCCGGGATATTCTACTTTAAAGTGTGATCCTAATTCTACTTGGAGATGAAACTCCCTGCAGGCGATTATGAAAAATGCTCAAATTTACCGAAAAATCAGAAACGAGTGCATTTTGCAGCGGACGACCGCCCTTATCCTCTCCTAACATGTAAATGAATTCACTTACACATTAGGATTTTTTGACGAACGACCGCTGTAGCAACAACATTTCCACTTTTCAGTGAACTGGAAATTTGCACTTTTTCGAAGAGCGGACATTTCACCAAAACCCAGGCTGGAACGCACCGGGCGGACTCGTGCGATCATGCGCTTTTGCACCAGACTTGAAATACTAGGGTCATTAACTTCGCGAATGGCTTTGCTTTACACCTACCTGTTGCGGCCACTAACATAAAACACCATAAATTTTGCAAAGCAAATGTACAATTTCTGTTCAACAATCGTTCTTTAAAAGTAACCTAGTTGTTCAGTGAGAAGTTTTTCCGCCAAGACCTTTAAGTGCCCGTACTTGAGAACCACGCATACCTCAAGCTGAATCTGAAATACTTAAGTTGTACTTGGACAGGAACATTGCCCCAAAATTTCAGCTTTCCAGCTTTTCTGGTTAACGATTTAGCAATTTTCCCACCAAAACATTCAAACGCCCACCTACTTGGGTATTCCACCTGTCTGGAAAGCTGAATCTGAAATTTTTAAATTGCACGTGGACAAGGAATATCCCTTTAAAATTTTAGCCTTCCGGCTCTTCTGGTTGCCGAGTAAGTAATTTTCCTATAGAAATCTTCATACGCCCTTACGTGAGTACCGTGCATACCCGGGGGGCTGAATTTGAAATATTTGAGTTGTACTTGGATAGGGAATAATCCTCCAAAATTTCAGCTTT